GCTTTAGTGCTGTCACAAAGGTCACTTCCAGCTTCACCTGTGTATTGCCGATGCTGGATTCCAGAAGTTGTTTCAAAGAGTTAGTAAAGCCATCTCGATCTAACAGCAATGTGCTGAAGCTTTGTTACTTCCCCATCTCATCAAATTTGCCTGTTGTATTGAATGTGATTCCAACCTTAAGGAACCACTACCATATTTAATGCCATGCTCCCAGACAGGGACTGCTCTTAAGTACCTGCCTAAAAACCCATGTTCAGCAAAGGGGACACAGACTGAAAATGGTCTGCTTCAATTTTGGCCCCTCCAGAAAACCAGACAGACAGTGAGGCACACAATGTAAGGAGCCATGAAAAGAGACTCCGAGTTATAGCGGTTAGTTGTAGTGGCCTATGTAGCTATAAGGACTGGCTCGATCCTTTCCCTGCACATCAGAGTGGAACCAGCTTTCCTTTACACAGAGTCTTCATAAGAAGAGTGTACCTGGGGTTGCTGGAAATTAGACTACTGGCCCTATTTATTGCTGTTTGTTGATGTGTATATGCCATTTACAGGGCATTCATGTATCGGGGCAGGTTTGGGCCCTTTGCTTTATAGCAAATAGCCACTGTCATTTTGTCTCAAGTACAATGATACAATAACAGGGTCCTTTTGAAATGGATGCTGCAGCTCTTACAGTCCATTCCCGTTGGAGTGGGGCAGGTGTACATCTGTGATGACCCCTGTGCCATCTTCCTGACTGCATTGCTCATCTCTTCTCTACTCATTTGCTTGCATGCTGCAATTGGATCAACAGTGGGCATGCTGGCAGGTAATGAATATGGTTTACCTAAGTCATGTTTATAATGTCTTACACCTATGGGTTCCTCAACCCTCCTGATAAGAGAGACTCAGTTACCAGTGAGTGTAGCTGTAAGAAGAAAGTAATTCTGCATCTATACCATGGAGTTGTGATATCTGAAACATCTTCTGCTATGTATCATAAAAGGTGCCTGTTATCTTAACAGAACTCACCATTGCTACACTGTTTGACAGCATCTACTTTGGCTTGGGGAATTATAACCGTTCGCTTGCTTGCATTGCAATTGGAGGCATGTTCTATGCGCTTACTTGGCAGACACATCTGATGGCACTCGTCTGTGGTACATACCCTGTAGGAAAGGGGAGGGCAAGGATTCAGGGACTCAAACTAACTTCACATCCTGCAGATTTAGTGTCAGGCCATGGTTGTGCTGGTAACACTGTACGTGCTCGCAATGCTCATGACTTTGCAAATGTGACCTGTGTACGTGCAGTAGAGTTAGGCAGTTAGATGTGCATACAAATGATTTAAGTATTAAGAAGCTCCTTTGTACAGTTTCATTTTAGATCAAGGAAAATAGCAAAAAAATAAAGTGGCCAATGTGGGCATTCTATAAATAGCAAAGAAAGGCATCACAGTTTCATAGTTACATATAGATTCATGGGGCTGGAAGAGACCTCAGAAGATCATCGGGTCCAGCCCCCTACACCAATAAGGAAAGACAACGGGGGTGAGGTGACCCCAGCAAGGTGACCATCCAGTCTCCTCTTGAAGATTTCCAGGGTAGGCGATTGCACCACCTCTGGAGGGAGCTTCTTCCAGTCTGGACATTCTTAACTGTGAAGTATTTCCTAATGTGGAGACTGAAATGGTCTTCCAGAAGTTTGTGGCCATTGCTCCTGGTTTTCCCCAAGGGTGCCCTGTTGAACAGTTGTTCACCGAGCCCTTGGTGTACACCCCTGATATAGCGGTAAGCTGCTACCTGGTCCCCTCTCAGCCTTCTCTTTTTCAGGCTGAAGAGTCCCAGGTCCCTTACATATACCCTGTACCACACTGGAAAAGATTAGGCTGGCCTGGGAAGAAGTGCATCATGAGGGACAGGGCAGAAATTGGTGGGAAATTATTCTAACCCAACACATCAATTTATAGTAACGAGTAAAAGAGAGACCTTCATTGCATGTCCTTGTTGAGATACAGTGCTCATCACCCAAAGTCCATGCAAATAGAAAAGAAAAGGCTAAGCTGAGTCTTGAAAGTAGAGCAACTCCGTACAGTTGGCCCAGTGTTCAAACAGGAACAAATATAAAACATGTGCACATGGTACTGGGACATCCTATTTAATGGTCATAGAATCATAGAATCATATCATAGAAGTCGGGTCGGAAGGGGCCTTGTAGATCTTCAAGTCTGACCCCCTGCCTGGGCAGGAGGAAAAACTGGGCTCAATTGACCCCAGCCAGGTAGGCATCAAGCCGCTTCTTAAAGACCCCCAGGGTAGGAGCCAGCACCACTTCCCTTGGAAGTTGGTTCCAGATCCTAGCCACCCTGACTGTGAAGTAGTTCTTACGGATGTCTAATCTAACCCTACTCTTCAACAACTTGTGGCTGTTATTCCTGGTTATCCCGGGGGGCGCTAGGGGAAACAAGGTCTCCCCCAAACCCTCCTGGTCCCCCCTAGTGAGTTTATAGATGGTCACCAGGTCCCCCCTCAGCCTTCTCTTGTGAAGGCTGAACCGGTTCAGGTCCCGTAGCCTCTCATTGTAGGGTCTGCCCTGCTGTCCCCGGATCATGTGGGTGGCCCTCCTCTGGACCCTCTCAATGTTGTCCACATCTCTCTTGAAGTGGGGTGCCCAGAACTGGACACAGTACTCCAGCTGTGGCCTGACCAGTGTCATGTAGAGGGGGAGGATCACCTCCTTGGCCCTACTTGAGATGCACCTGTGGATGCACGATAGGGTCCGGTTGGCCCTGCCAACCATGACCTTGCACTGTCGGCCCATGTTCATCTTGGAGTCAGTAATGACTCCAAGATCCCTTTCTGCCTCCGTGCTCTCAAGAAAGGAGTTTCCCATCTTATAAGTGTGCTGCTGGTTACTACTGCCCAAGTGCAGCACCCTGCACTTGTCAGTATTGAAACGCATCCTGTTTTTATTAGCCCACCCTTGCAACCTATCCAGGTCTTTCTGCAGTCTTTCCCTCCCTACCAGCGTGCCCACCTCACCCCAATTACAATCCTAATTCTTGTGCCAGAGGAAGTAGGAGGGATGCTTTCAAGTCAGCAGTGCCAGCTGAGCTGCACCCTAGGGTACTGAAGGAATTGGCTAAGGTCATTTGAGAGCCATTGGCTCTTTGAGAACTCATGGATTTCATAGATTTCATAGACATTAGGGCTGGAAGGGACCTCAGAAGATCATCAAGTCCAGCCCCCCACCCGAAGGGCAGGAAGTCAGCTGGGGTCATAGGATCCCAGCAAGATAAGCATGTTGAGTGAGGTCCTGGATGACTGGGAAAAAATAAATAAAGTGTTCATCTTTAAGAAAGTGGATCTGGGGAATTACAGACCAGACAGCCTAACCTCAAAACCTGAAAAGATCACAGAGTAGGTCCTCAAGGAATCTATTGTGAAGCACCTAGAGAAGAACAAAGTGATCAGGTAGAGTCAGCATGAATTCATCGAGAACAAGGCATGCCTGGCCAACCTGATTTCCTTCTATAATACGTTGGCAGGCTATGTGGGTGGGGAGAGAGCACTGTCTTGATCTTAGCAAGGCTTTTGACACTGTCTCCCATGGCATATTCATTAATAAGCTAAGTAAATAAAGACTAGATGAATGTGTTACATGGTGAATATATAACAGGTTGGATCATCACCAAGTAGTCATCAATGGCTCAGTGTCTAGCTGGGTGGAGGTATCAAGTGGGGCTCTCCAGGAGTCTGTACTGGGTCCAGCGTTGCCTTTATTAATATCCTTATTAATGATTTGGACAATGAGACTGAGCGCACACTTAGCAAATGTGCAGATGACACCAAATTAGGAATCTGGAAGGCCAGAAGGACCTGGGTAGACTGGAGAAATGGTCTGCAATCAGTAAGATAAGATTCACCAAAGACAAAGTCCTACACTTGAGACAGAATAACCGCGTGTACAACTACAGACTGGGGAATGACTGGTTAGGCTACAGGACTGCAGAGAAGGACCTGGGGTGACAGTAGACCATAAGATGATTATGAGTCAACAGTGTGCTTTTGTTGCCAAAAAAAAAGCCAACAGTGTCACTTGCAGGTCAAGGGAAGTGATTCTTCCACTCCATCCAGCATTAATGAGGCCTCACCTGGATCACTGTCTTTAGCTTTGGGTCCAACCCCTCAAGAAGAGTATGGACAGATTGAAAGGAGTCCAGTGCAGAGCAACAAAACTGATTATGCACGTAGGAAGCAAGAAAAGAAAAGCTGAAAGAAGTAGTGTTTGAAAAGACTGAGGCAAGATTTGATAACAGTCTTCAAATACCTGAAGGGCAATTACAGAGAGATTGGAGATGGGCTTTTTCTGTGGTCATAGGGGTCAGGACTAAGCGCAATGGGCCCAAGCTACAGCAAAGGATATGTAGGCTGGAGATTAGGAAAAACTGTCTGATGATGAGGGAGGTCAAGCATGGGAACAGACCACCTAGAGATATTGTGGGATCTCCATCACTGGAATTTTTTTAAGAACAGGTTCCGTAGAGACTTGCCGGGATGGTTTGTCAGGGACCACCCTGCCTTGAGCAGGGGGCAGGGGGAGACAGCTGGACTAGGTGACCTTGTGAAGTCCCTTCCAGCTTTACTTCCCTATGATCCTGTGCATTTTATAGCGTATGCATAGGGAGTACCTATTTCTGATATTGTTTTTAGGATGAGCAAGAGTCTACTTGTCTTGAACTGTCTTTTTGTCTTCTTTTCACAGCCCTATTTTGTGCCTATGCTGTAGCAATTCTTACTAATGTCTTGTCAGTGGTATTTTTTTATGTATTCTGGCTTTGTTACGCTGTTGGGAAATACAGACTTTTCTATTATTTTGCTGACAGTTTTGACAGCCGTGGAGTAAGAATTCTGTAGCCAGCAGGGGGTTCTGCGGCAGGTGTATTGTGAGCCTATATTCGCTATGGCTGATAATAGGAATTCAGAGAACTTCAAACCAACCGATCTTCCGTGTGTGTGCTTGCATTTGTAGATGATTTCCAACAACATTTCCTGTGCTGAATTCCAACATTAAGTCTACCCTTCCTTTTGTGGTTGTTCCTAACTTAGAGAGATTCGTTTTGGCTGTTCTCAATTTGTTCTTGCTTTGTCTCAGGCCAACTGTTTTCTCTTTAAAGTCTGATCCAGCCATTCCTGAGTACTGCAAATGTGCAGGAAAAATATATTTGTCTTTTATGTGAAAAACAGACATTTTATGCTAGTATCATTCAAAATAGCTGAAACCAATACCTCACACTTAGCTTGTTCCACAGATCTCACTGAAGGATGAAAACTAAAGTCATGTTTGAAGCAAATATGTTTGGTAGCTTTAAATGTATGCACATTAAAAGTCAATGGGTTCAAATATGCTCAGTGAAAACTATCCATCTGGTTTCTTTCATAGATTTCATAGACATTAGGGCTGGAAGGGACCTCGGAAGATCATCGAATCCAGCCCCCTGCCCCAGGGACAGGAAGTCAGCAGGGGTCATAGGATCCCAGCAAGATAAACATCCAAATGTCTCTTGAAGGTGTTCAAAGTAGGTGCTTGAACCTCTATTCCAGACCTTGGGGGCTCAGACAGTGTTAGCATTCTTTGCTAATGCATGGTCATAAAAACAGCTCAAAATAGTGGCCCATGTCAATAGGACGCCTCTGTTTAAACACACCTGAGTTAAGGCTGCATAAGGATAAAGACCCAAGAGAGATCCTGGCTAAGTACGATTTTGTAATTCATTTCATTGTATGGGGAGGGACAAAAAGCTGCCACACTTGGAGCTGCCAAAAGGATTAAGTGGTCAAAAATATCCCTCCCAACACTTAACACTAAAGAAGAGGACAGGCAGATACAGGGAACACAACAAGAAAGAGCTCCCATGCCCAGCCAGTAGTGAAAAGAAAGCTCAAGCTCTTCATATGCCTCCCAAATAAACCAGCCACTGGCTGCCTGGTTTGAAGTGGACAGGGCTGGACAGGGGTAGTGCTCCCAGAAAGCTCTCCAACCCAGCCATTGTGTGGAGGTAGTATAATATAGTCACGTGAGCCAACCACCCTTTCGTCTTCAACCTGAGGCTGAGGAAAATCCATTGCCCTGTCTTCCAGATGCTTGGGCCCAGATCTTCCAACGTACTTAGACACCTAACACCCATTACCTTTCCTGGCCTGACAATCAAACAGATCAAGGCTTCCCCATCTCCATGAGCCTAGGCAAGGCAAGCTGGCAAGGTCTCCCAAAGTGCTCCCTTTCATCCAAAGTAGAGATGAAAAAAGTTTCATTCACTCATTTTTACCTACTTTGTGCAGCAATTAGTAATGAGTTGACAGCCACCTCCCATTATATAGTTGTCACTCTGCAAACACCATAGCTACCTGAACAAAAAATGAATCTCTCTTAACTACTATAGGTACAGATCTACAGTAGTAGTATTACTGGCTATCCAAATGACCCCATGATGTTGTTACTGGTATAACTATAGAACCATAGAAAATGAGGGTTGGGGGGAAGCTCAGGAGGTTGCATCTAGTCCAACCCCCTGCTCAAAGCAGGACCAGCCCCAACTACATCATCCCAGCCAAGGCTTTGTCCAGCCAGGTCTTAAAAACCTCCAAGGATGGAGATTGCACCACTTCTCTGGGTAACCTGTTCCAGTGCTTTACTACCCTCCTAGTGAGAAAGTTTTTCCTAATATCTAACCTCAACTTCCCTTGCTGCAACCTGAATTCATTGCTCCTTGTTCTGTCATCTGCCATCACTGAGGACAGTCTAACTCCATCTTCTTTGCAACCCCCCTCCAGGTAGCTGACACTGCTATTAAATCCCCTCTCAGTCTTCTCTTCTCTAGACTAAATAAGGCCAGTTCTCTCAGCCTCTCCTCAGAAGTCATGTTTCTCAGCCCCCAAACCATTTTCATTGCCATCTGCTGGACTCTCTCCACTTTGTCCACCTCCTTTCCATAGTGGGGGGCCCAAAACCAGACACAGGACTCCAGATGTGGCCTCACCACTGCTGAATAGATGGGAAGAATCACTTTCCTCGATCTGCTGGCAACACTCCTACCAACGCAGCCCAGGATGTCGTTAGCCTTCTTAGCAACAAGGGCACATTGCTGGCTCATATTCAGCTGTTTGTCCACTGTAACCCCCAGTGGATCTATACTGCACGTCATGTGATAGGATTTGTGTGTGTTTGGGGAAAACACATTCCAGGAATGGCATACACTCGGAAGCTTCTGATATCATATATTTGTCAATACTGGTCTTGGCAGAACAGACTCAACTTTCCAACCTCATGGAAGGTTAAGCAAAAGAGTTTGCTTAAAGAGTTAAGCAAAGGGAACAGTCCAAATGTCATGAAAAAATGCATCAATCTGTCTTTCCCACCTAGACTGGATTGCCACTCTGCACGTGGCCTTTTTGCTTCTCTGCACTTCTCTTTCTGCTACTAATGACAAACAACCTGGCCATCTACAAGCTACCACTCTGCAAAGTCACCTACCCAGAAGCCAACCAAGTCTATTATCTGAGCATGAAAACAAATGAGCAGACAACCACCGGTGATTAGCAAGTGCTAACTGTGACCAGACTTTGTGACTCCCAGCGCAGCCACTCAGATCAATTTCTGTAGCACCCGAATCAGCCATTTTAATACTTTATATCAAACACCAACAGATCAGCAAATTACGACATATCCTAATTCCATCTTTAGCAAGCTATTCATTGAGTTCCAGGATCAGCAAGCATTGATACATAGCATATTGTGGAAGAAATGTTTGTTCTTGAGCTAAGCTATGAAAGTTCATCCACCATAATAATGGCCGTCTTTTCAATGCATATGATAATAATATGAATGTGAATAATAATAATAATAATAATATGGTAAGCTATTTGGTGCACAGATTGTCTTTATGTTATGTTTGCACAGCGACTGGAGCCTTTGGATGCCATAATAAAATTAATTTGAGAAGAACCTTGTGTGAGCTGTAGTTAAACTAAGACCAAGTATACATGAACATGTGCCAGTCTGATCTGTTCCTTGGGCATCACATATATCATATATAAAGCCCCAAATCTCACAATTAACACCATGGTTTAAATGGGTACATTTATTATCTTTCTCTGTTCTGTCACCTGCCTTCTCCTCATTTTACAGTGTAATTAGAATATTCATATTTTTCTTTCTATAATCAGACCAAAAAATGGCTTGTTTCTAATTGCATTATCATTCACTGGCATCGTTTTCATTTAGAAATAGAAAAATGACAATCCCAGTCACAAGTGCAAAGGCAGGTATGCCCCGGACAAGTGTGCATTGTGCCACACACACCTAGCAAGAAGCAGGTGAGGGAAGAGAATGGGAATTTAAGAGGAAGGTTCACTAAAGCATTTACTGTGGTGTCAAAGTGATGTTGTAGCTGTGATGGTCCAGAAATTATGCAAGGGGCAAGGATTTCTTAGGGTGATGTCTTTTATTGGACTAATGACGTAGTTGGGATAGAGTTAAACCAGGTTTCAGATGGAAGGCATTCTTTGTCAGGGCTGGCCTGAACAAGCCAGACACAGCATAATAAAGAACGCCTGAGATAAATTTCCAGGGATAGAAAAGACACAAGGAGCAGAAGAAAAGAAGCTGACTACTGGGAGATCAAGACCTCTCAGAAAGGAGGAGGGTTATTCTCACCTTTCATGTGCGGAAAGAATTTAGGAGTCAGGTGAAATATAATGTGCCACAAAACCAATATTAATATTTAGCAGTTGCTGTAATGCCTCCTTACAATCACTACACCATGATGTCTTTCTACATTAAAAAAAAGACAAGAAGGAAAACCCAAGTGAAAGGCTCACACTGATTGGGCCCCTCTACCTATTGGCCTACTCAACAGCAACCTGCTGAAACACTGGCGTTAGGGCCAGGGGGGTCCCCATTTCAGTGCCCTACATGCAGCCAAGCAGAAGTGCAAGGTGAACGGCAAATGTTGCCTAAACAGGATGAACAGTTTACACCCACTTGGTCATTCACAAGGTAACAAGGGGAAATCAGGCCTCCTGTCCAAAACAAAGGGCTGTTTAAAGACCCATTTCTAGATCAGCCACCGTACAAAGGCCAACCAAATACCAAGGCCTCCTTGTTTGTCTAAAATGACATCATAAGAGTCCCATAGTCCTTCAACAATGGCCAACCTAGAGCCTCAGGGCCAAGATAATTTCAAAAAATCTTAATACTAAGAAAAGACATTGCCCCAGCATGTAAACATGGACCCCAAAGAAATGAAGGACTCAAGCAAGTCATGCAAAGTACAGATTTACCCGAGACCCAAAGGAACATAGACGTCTTCATAAATAAAGTGAAATAAGCAGGAAGTGAATGATCTAGCCCTCCCACACCCCCACATCTCCTGACAAGCAGGGAAGAGTAGAAAAACCACCGTAAGTCCTCTGGCAGTTCTAATCATAACCCTTGTCATACCAAGCTACGACATGTAGGAGTACACTCAGTGTGACGTGACACCTGAAATTACAGGGGGGATATCAGAGAAGTGAAGTGGAATATAATGGTCCAAGCTGCAGCCTGGTCAGGAAACAAGGATTTATAAGGGAATAGTTTCACAAGGTATTTGACAATCACAAAAGGTTTCTCTTTTACTTCTCACTAAAAAGACAGAACATCCAGCAGAACAGCAGTCATGCCCAGCTGGCTCCATACTGCTTTTGCTGGCAGAGTCCAACAAATTGAATCGTCACCAAGACAACCTGCAAAAAACCGGGATTCCCATAGGAGCCTCCCATACAAAACCTGATGACCCGGCTCAGCTGTTGAGCCATGATGAGATCCTACCCGGATAGTGCTGCAGGGAAGGAAGTATGGCTCCAAGCTGCAAGGGAGGGGAGGGGAAGAAACCTGCACAGAAGTTAGCATGCAAGTACTTTTAAAGAGATGAATGCTGTAGTTGAAATGGATGGGAATAATCATCTGCATAGTTATATGCAGAGCTAATATATTAAGTCTCTCAGCTGAGGACATTTTGACTCAAGTGTTATCTGTATGATTATCTTAGACACTCCTAACTGTTAGAGCAGAATTGCCTTTGTGAAAAATGTGGAGGATAGGAATTTGCCTGCATTTCACATTCAGTTTAAAAATGCCATTCATCTAAAAGCAGGTCGATAGATGCCACCATTCTTTACAGGCTCCACCGGATATTTCTTAATTGCAGGTGCATTGCTTTTCCTGTCTAGCGGCTTCTCTGGCCCAGTGCTCGAGGTCTCCCCAAAATACTGCATATCCCATCTGGCACTACTTAATCAGAGAGAATTTGGGCAGGAGAAAACCCTGGTGTGCACTACAGCCACCTTCTTATTGCCTATCTCACAGCTCAATGGCCTTGCAAAATGCTCTTTGAGTTTCAGACTCACTCTGGGGGACTACAGATAAAAAGGTATGAAAGAAAAAGTGGTCAAAATGCGGCTTAGCAAAGGCTATGTCCTGCAGGCCTTGCATATCTGCACAACTGATTTATGATCCTCAAAGTGGTGTTGATGCCTACACGGTCAGATGGGTCACTAACTGGCTAGAGCGCCGCACCCAGAGAGTGGTGGTGGACGGGTCTTATTCGACCTGGAGGGATGTGGGCAGTGGGGTTCCCCTGGGCTTGGTCCTCGGGCCCGCACTGTTCAACATCTTCATCAGTGACTTGGGCGAGGGAGTAGAAAGCACCCTGTTCAAGTTCACAGATGACACTAAGATGTGAAGTGGGTACACTAGTAGGAAGGAACAGGCTGCAAGCAGATTTAGACAGGTTACAGGGGTGGGCGGATGAGAACAGGATGGGTTTCAACACTGACAAGTGCAAGGTGCTGCACCTGGGGAGGAAGAACCAGCAGCATACCTACAGGCTGCGGAACTCAAAGGATTTTGGAGTCATTATTGATGCCAAAATGAACATGGGCTGACAGTGTGGGGACGTGGTCAGGAAGGCCAACCGCACCTTGTCGTGCATCCACAGATGCATCTCAAGCAGGTCCAAGGAGGTGATGCTCCCCCTCTATGTGACATTGGTCAGGCCGCAGGTGGAGTACTGCATCTAGTTCTGGGCACTGCACTTCAGGAGGGATGTGGACAGCATGGAGAGAGTCCAGAGGAGGCCACCCGCATGATCAGGGGACAGCAGGGCAGGCCCTACAAAGAGAGGCTGAGGGACCTGAACCTGTTCAGCCTCCAAAAGAGAAGCTGAGAGGGGATCTAGTGGCAGTCTACAAACTAGTCAAGGGGGACCAGCAGGCATTGGGAGAGTCCCTGCTCCCCCAAGCACTCTTGGGAGTTACAAGAAACAACAGACACAAACTAGCGGAGGGTAGTTTCAGGCTACACATTAGGAGGCGTTATTTCACTGTCAGGGCAGCTAGGACCTGGAACCAGCTTCCAAAAGAAGTGGTGCTGGCTCCTACCCTGGGGGTCTTTTTTTAAAAGGCTGGACGAACATCTGGCCGGGGTCATTTGACCCCAGTACTCTTTCCTGCCAGGGCAGGGGGTCGGACTAGATGATCTCCTCAGGTCCCTTCCAACCCTACCAACTATGAAACTATGAAAGGAAAGCGGTCTTTCTGGAGCCATCTGAAACACAATGACCTGCAAGCACAGGTCAAATCCACATTCACAGAGCAGAGCCCTCAGGGTCCCTGGAAGAAGAGGGCAAACAAAGTTTTGAGGGGGCAACCCTTAAAAGAATGGGTGAATAACAACCTAATACGGCCTTTTCTCCCCCGTTGACTGTAACAGAGGGCTTGGTTTTGACTCCACGTGTGTCTCTATGATTGCTTTTATATTTAATTGATTGCAAGACAGACATTTTACCATGAAACAGCCCGGTGTCAATTGAACAATCTGGTGACTATATTTCTGTGCAGTAGGTTATCGTGTGCAAGGTCTGAATTTGGACATACCTGTTTCCTTTTCCCTTTGGTCATTAAATTCAGCTGAAGCCAAGTTTCAGTGCTCCATTAAATTATTAGCTAGACTAAGGAAGGGGTCAACAAGTAAAAGATGCTCCAGGAGTTGCATAGTGCTGACAGCAGCCCAATTTTACCAGTCAGGAAAACTGTTTCAAGGCTTAAGATACTTGCAAGACCATTTACTTTGTAAACCATAGTTAACTTCAATTAAAATCTACAGAATCAGGAACCTGCCTATCAGAGAAGAGCTTTTTAAGAGTAAGTTGGGCACTTCCTAAAAGGTTCAAAATACCCTCAGTTCCAATCCTCAGCATCCTGGAATGGTCCATGTTCAAGAAGGATAGTAAAAAGAGCAGAATTGCACTGATTGTGCAAGTGCTGTGCAAGTATGTGGGGCACATAACTTAAATATTCATTGGAAAACAGGTTAGATAAGTGTCTGTCGGGAGTGGTTTAGATGCTGATTGAGGGATGGATTAGATGATGTCCTGAATTCCCTTCCAGCCCAGTTTTCTCTTCCATGATAGAATACAGAAGAGCACAAGTCTCGCCAGCGATCCTAGTTTATCACTTATCAAAGTAAACCCTTTATAAGAAATTGCAGTTAAGAAACTA